ACTCCCCTAAGTCGTTTTCTTCCGTTCATGATTCCCTTGCCATCCTCAAGCAAGGCAAGTTGTTGGCTGGAGCTGGGGGACTAGGATGGAAAGACTGTCCTGGTCAAGGAGCTCTTCCAGCGTGTTCACAGCCATCACATGCTCAGTTCTATGATATGCAGAGTCCTGGGCAAGAAAGGAATTCCCAGTATTCTCTTACCTGCTACCTGACATTTCTGAGCCTCTTATCCTGCTATAGTTTTCTTTAATCAGCACTTTGGCGATTTACTTATTTGTTATGTTTATTGCTCATCGTCTCTGTCAAATAGAATGCAAACCCCATGAGGGCAGCATCTTTGTGGGTATATTGTTTTGTTTTGTTCCCTGATACATCCTAAGTTCTTAGAACAAAGTCTATCACAGTGTAGGCTCTCCACCATTTTCTGTATAAATGAAAGAATATGGTACATGGGAATTCAGTGTTAAGTTTTTAAAAATCCTTTAAGGGAAGTGTTTTATTTTTAGAATCTTATTAATTTTACTAACAAATGTTGTATTAATCAGGGAGATATATTAATATATGTGTATGTATATCATATACAGGAGATATTAATACACACACAAACACACACACACACAGACTTATTTGGAGAAATTTGCTCACACAATTGTGAAGACTGGAAAGTCCAAAATCTGCAGGTAGGCTGGCTGCAGACACAGGGAAGAGTTGATGCCACAGTTTGAATCCAGAGGCTGTGCTTTCTGCTGACAGAATTCCTTCTTTGGGAGAGGTCGGTCTTTTTCTATTAAGGCCTTTAACTGACTGGATGAAGCCCACCCACATTATGGAGGGTAATCTGCTTCACTCAAAGTCTACTGATTTAAATGTTAATCTCATCTTAAAAATACTTTCACAAAAACATCTGGAATAATGTTTGACCAAATATCTGGGTACTGCAGCCTAGCAAATTTGACACATAAAATTAATCATCACAAATATCAATCTAATGATTTATTTTACAGTTGGAATGATCTCAGGTAGCAACTCTATCATTCTATAGATGAAGAAATTGAGTCATCATGAGATTAATAAATGAATTAGTAAATGTCCCAGATGACCCACACAGGACCTCAAGGCCTGAGTAACAATCCTATGTTCTTCAACTGCAAATGCTATAAAATGAACCAGCTACAAAATGCTGCATTAGGTGTTTTGGTCTTTTTGTTTTGTTTTGAGAAAAAGCTTTGGCACTTTATAGTACAACAGAGTGATCAAAGCTATGCCCTAATCTCAGTTAATTGTAGATTTAAGGGAGTTTATAGTGTGGTGTTGTATGCTTTGGGGACATAACAATCTTACCTAGATACCTGCACTTGAATATACATAATCTGAATTATGTTCTAATTGTTTCTGTTGTTTTTAAAATGCAGTTTATATTTTTAGCCAAGCTCTAGTGGGGATGTGTAAAAGAGTAGGGAAGGGTAGGCTATAATGAGGTAAAATAGGTCAGTCAGGATAGGACGCACTGACAAAATAATATCTGAAAAAAGACTTCAAGGAAGTAAGGGAGGAAACAAATGGATATCTGGGGAAGACAGAGAGAAGAGCCAGTACAAAGGCTCTAAGCTAGGAGTCCATCTGGCTTATTCAAGAAACAGCAAGGAGGCCAGTGTGCCTATATCAGAATGGGTGACCAAGTGATAGACTCGTGGGAGATGAGGTGAGAGAACAGAGGTACACAACTCATATAGGGTCTCATGGGCCATTCTGAATTTTACTCTGATTTAAATGGGGACATATTGGGGAGTTCTGAGCAGAGGAATGCCATGATACTACTTAATTTAGAAAAAAAATCCCTATGGCAACTTCATTTAAACTAGACATTGGGTTGTTGGTATTGGGGGTTGGGAGATTGGGGATCATTGAAACAAGGAGACCAGGTGAGTTGAAAGACTGTTCCAATGATCCAATTGAGAAATTCTGGGAGCTCACACCAGGTATTTCTTGATCCCTCCAAGAAGTAGACAGATTCTGAACGTGGAGTGTGACAGAGAAGAGGCAAGGATGACTTCAAAGGTTGGTGGCCTGAGTAACTGGCAGGAAGTATTTGCCATCTGTTTGAGATGGAGATGTCACCAACTGTGACTGGTGCATGTTTGGGGAGAAAAAGCCAGACTTCAGATGTGGACATGGTGAGTTTCAGAGGTCTGTTAGATACCCAAGTGGAGACGCTCAATTGGCAGTCTGGAGCTCTGTGAAGAGATCTGGGTTTAAGATGTAAATCTGGGAGGTATAAATTTTCATTCAATTTGATTAAACATTTATTGAGCACCCTACCATTTTCTGGTCACTGACCTGGACATTGCAGGTACAAATATTAAGAATATATAATTCTTAACCTCAGAATCTCATAGTTAAGGGGGAAAGCAGATATATCAGCAAAAACTGCAATTATTTAATAGAAAAACACACACAAGCCTGTAAAGGTGCAGACATAGGGAAATTAAATAATTAATTCCACTCTTGAGAAGAGTCAGGGAGAGCTTCAGAGAGGAAGTAAAGGATTGACTGGAACTTGAAGGTTAAGGAAGATTTCTTTGGGTGGAGAAAATAGGATATTCCAGGCAGAGGGGAAGCCATGAGTAAATGCAGTGTCACCCTCCACAAGGTAAATGTGCTCTGACATGCCTTAACTTGTAACGAATTAGTCAGATCAATACCTGACACATTTTTCCCCACAATTTAAAAAATATAAAGAGGCATGCACTACTATTAATATATATGGTCATATATGAGATTGAGGGACCTTTATTCATGGGGTTTAAAAATAAAGGCTGCTCTGCATGTAAGTTGCAAGCTTATATCTAGTTCCATAACATTAACCAGTGTGTCTCTTCCTGTGATTTCTCTGCGTGATGACCTTTCCATCAAAGGTGGAGCAGCCGCCAGAGCAGTCTACTTTCACATCTCACAGAATGGAGGCTACAGCGGAACCCAGAGAAAAAAGAAGTCAGTTCTTTCTTTAAGCATGGTCCTGAAATCATCTCAGAGCATAAACAATTGAACTTAGAAAATCTTCTAAAAGCCCATCTGGCACCTCCTAGATCAAGATCTTCTGGGCTCAGTAGAAAGGGTAAAGATGAGAAGGCACAAAAAGGATATAAAGAGAGAGGGTGGTGGTGCCAGAATCTGAGGAGCCAACTTGGAAGGTCATCTCAGACAGGACTGGAGTCAGCATTTGAGGTCTGCCTGGTCTCCACTCCCGCCAGGACTGCCCTTTCAGCCAGCTTGGCATGTACCGCCTACCCAGCAGGCGTTTTGCCTGACTATGCCCTAATCTTTCACTTTCCCAATTTTCTCTATGTGGGTATCTTCCCTTTTAAAAGCTTCAGACATCAGTAAGCACACCTACTGCTCCAGCAAAGTGGGAATCCTAGAAATCAATGGGTTGGGGAAAGTCTTAGGGAAAGAATGCCTCCTTATACTTAGGTTGGATAGAACAGGACCAGTTCCAGATCAATTACCACCCCACCCCCCACTCCAGGGTGGGACTGTGATAAAATATACCCCTTCCAGAATCTTTCCTTCTTCATTCATTCTAGGTATCTTTGCTTGGAAACTGTTAGAGTGTTGAGCCACAGCTGTGCCTCTGAAAGCATTCTAAAGAAAAGAGTTTTCCACTTATTTGATTCCTTTGAACATAGGGGTGTCTAAGGCGGTATCTACTGCCCCAAATTCTTTGGTCCTGTGTTTCGTACCAAATCTTGGCCTCCACTTACTAATTCAATGCTCTGTGGATCTTTTATTCTAATGTTAGAAGCTTGGCTCTTTGAGGTTGTTGTTTTAACATTTTTCTCTGGATGTAAACTTGGCTTTGTGTCTAGTAGCTCTGTAAGAAAAATGTCTTTGAGTAAGCTGAAGCTGTTAGGATCTTATACATAAGTGGTATTACAACTGCCTGACAGTAGAAGGTAAATAGGGAAAATATCCGCACGAATGGCTGCTTCTTCAAGTCTGGGACAACCTGGAGCTGGACTTTAGTGCTCATTGCTTAGAAAAACAGGTGGTGACTGGAAGTTTGATGAGTTACAAAAATGATATACCTATGCAAAACTTTAACTTTCTGCAGCACTGCAGCACAACTTGTCTCAGTTTATTTTCCCAAGAGTGGAATGAGGAGGGCAGGATTCATATTTAACGGATGAACTGTGTCCAGTGCGAGGCAGTTAAAACCCTTTCCCTTGCTCACACACAAGTCTGCTCTCCCTGCAGCCTTGTCCTCTGGCTTCTAGACATACCTCTGTGCTAACCTGCTATGTGCCCTTAGTAAATTACTTATCTCTCTGTCTCTGTTTTCTAACCTCTGCAATACGGTCCAGAAGGATAGTTTTAACTATCTTTTTCACCGTGCCCTAGTGAGTAGGAATTTGGAAATTGGTTGCTGGTACAGAGGTAATATTTGGTTGGCTAAACACGCTTTCCAAGTTATCTCGCTGGTGGTACTTCTTCCCATTCCTACAGATAGCTAACTATTCTGTGAGTGTCCCCTTGAATTTGTTGGGCGCGATTACACTCTTCTAGGTCCTGCCTTCTTTTTGGGAACAGGAGCCAGTGGAGAGGAAGTAAGTGTCCTGCAACGACCAATATTTTCCTCTAGGAGGAGCCGCTCAGCCCAGATGAGAGTGACACGCACCAACTCCAACTCCTCACCAGGAAAGCTTCATCCCGGCTCCTCGGAATGCGTGGTCCGGGCGGCGCTCTGCCTCTCTGCGGCGGGCATCGAACTGGCCTCCCTGAACTCCCGCTTCTCCTCGCTTCGGCAGCCCGGATCTGCGGGGCTGCGGGCCAGGCCCGGCGTGACCCCTGGTGAACAGCGGCTGCCTTTTCCCACCCCTCCCCTCCCATCCTCCCTTCCCGTTTCACCCCGCCCCTTCCCTCCTCCCCAAGCCTGACAGCCCGCAAGCTGCCAAGCAGGGCGCAGCCATGGGAAGAGGAGGCGGTCTGGGGAGCCACGGCGGTGGCGGCAGCGGCGGCTGCTACGGCGGAGGTGGCGGCGGTTGCTGCTGCTGAGCCCGGGCGGCGGCGGGGACCCCGGGCTGGGGCCACGAGGGCCGAAGGCCCCGCGCCATCGGCCCCAGCACGGACGCGAACCCGCGGTCTCTCTCCGGAGGCGAGGCTCGGAGGTACTGGAGCTGGCTTCGGGAATCGGGCTCTTACTTTCCCCCTGTTGGGCCAGGGGACCTAAGAGTGGACCCTGGGACGCCAGTTGTTTATGAAAATGGGGGGAGGGGATTTGTCTTATGTATTTACACGGATAATTTTTTCCGGGTGACTTGGGGGTTGGCGTGCTCCTCTCCTCCTAGCGAAGAAGTTGTTTTCTGTTGGTGGGTTGTTGTAACCCGATCTGCACTGTGGACGTGAGAGAGAGTGTGTGTGTGTGTGTGTGTGTGTGTGTGTGTGTGTGTACGCGCGCTCGCGGCTGGAAGTTGGTGGTGTGCGTGTGGCTGGAAGTTGGTGGGGTGGCAGGGAGTTGGGGGCGACAGGCGAACCATCCCACGCTGGCGCCTGCTCCAGCCGGTGTGTGCGGTGCGTGGAGGGGTTTCTTCTGAAGACAATTTTGTTAAAGTCGTAAAAAGTTTTGCTAGTCTGTTTCTGTTTGACATCATCAGCCGGGCTGGGGCAGGAACTGCTGAGGCTGCCGCTGCTGAGCCGGGAGAGGTCCCAGGCAAAGTGTCTGGGAGAGACCCGGGAGGTCCGGCTGTGCGCGTCTACACGGCGTTCTCCTCCCCAGAGCGCGGCCTTTTGCGTGTTTGTGCGGGCTGTAGCCGCGCATTGGCACCAGCGGATCTGGGGTCAGTAGGGTCACAACCACCAGTCCCTATGAACTGGAGTAGATGGAAATTGTGGCAAGCCGACCCCATCCAGCCTCAGACACACTCGGGGTTATGAAATAAACCGGCTCAAAGTTTTAACAGAACTGCCCGAGGGCTGCGGGTGAGTGGGGTAGCCGCATGTCGGGCACCGGGCGCTGGCAGCGCAGAGGGTGCGGGCAGGGTCGCCTCCTTGCGGGTGCGTGGGGAAGCCTATCTGGGGCGAGTGCTGTGTGTATAGCACAGGGGGAACGGCTGCCGGGACCGGGCTGCGGGGTTCGTGGCCTGGCGCGGGCTGTGTGTCGTGAATGGGTGTACGTGTGCGCTGTGTGTGTGCGCCTGGAGAGGCGTGTCGGCGCCTGAGCCAGTAGGGTGTGCAGGCGGGGGGAGGAAGGGGCCATAGAGGTGCCGCCCGCCTGTTTGTGCCGCCAGGAGACCTTGGAAGGGACAGAGAAAGGTAACCGGAGGCCAGAGGGTTGGGCAGTTACAGAAGTTCCAGCACAGGATTAAGTATATGGGCTTTAAAATAACTGAAACCCGTTATCTTTTAGAGCCTGAGAGCTGGAAGTGGAGGTTTCTAGAGCTCTCAGGAGAACTGCATGGGAGTGCGTTTGAGTGGTTTTTAGGAGATGTGTACATGTGTGGGTACAGAACCTTGGAACCGGCGGGCTGGAGCTGTGAATTTGATATTTCCAGGGTGCTGCCGTCCAGTATAGTTTAGGGGCTTGGCTGGTCTCAGGGCTGTTTACCTTTAGACTCCCTGGCGTGTGTGCCTGAGAAGACACTTTTCTCACAGACATGGGATGTTGTGGCAGCCTTGGCAACTGGTGTTCCAGGCTTGTTTCCACCTGGATCACCCTAGATGTCCCTTTTTCTGGGATGCCCCTGTAAGTTGGAGGTGACAACTATTGAAACATTTCCAGAAACTAAAATGCTGGATCCAAAGGAAATAAAATGATATAGCAGACAGGGTTGTTGGTTCCATTTACTCTGTGATTGAGAGTTCTGTTTCCTTTTGAGAAAAGCAAAACCCATTGTTCCCAGATTAGATTTCACGGGATCTCTAGTTATTTACAGTTTCCCTTCAGATGGACCTTTGGATAGAGCTGGAAAGATATGTTTTAGACTAGAGACTCTTGGAAAACAGCATTTGTAGCTTAAAAAGCTTGTCCCATTCCCTCCTCTCTTTCCACCCTTGTAAATTTTTTGTTTCACATTAGTCTAAGGAAAATTGGTGAGTCAACATTCAGCTTTTTTTTGTGGAGTAAATATATCACAGTGAAATTATAGTTTTGGTCTCCTCAATGCCATGGGAAACAAACACTTAAATGGGCAAAGGTGTGAAATAAAAATCCATAAATGCAATGACAAAGTAATGACATGAGTGCATTTTTTTTAAAACTGAGCATAACTTTGTCTCACAAATATTTGATCTAGCCAGAGTTGGGGGCTGTGTTTTTGATTATTCGTTTTTTAAACAGCAGATTCCACATCATAAACCACTTTAAAATGGATACTAGAGACCTTCTCTGTGCTGTCTCTGGCGCCTGTTAACACAAGATGTTTACAGTGCTTGGTAACCTATGGGATTGTCATATTGAGTATCTTGTTAGCTCAGGACATAATGTTTATAGCATAACGTAATAAATGGAGCCACAGTTGCAGCCTGTTTCTGCCAAGTGCATGAAGGACCCCAGCGTGGAAACAAATCTTTAAGTTGATTCAACTTGGTGGGCCTTTTTGGCTATCAGCTGCTAAGCATTGTTAATGTACAGATAAATGTGAGGGATACAGTGAGAATATGGGACAGCAAATTGTTTAGCTTAGGAAAAAAACACATGGGTTATGTTTTTTTAATCTGCTAACCTGAGGATTAAGCTTTTTTGGTTATTCCACCGATTAGTTACACAATTATGGGGACTTGGTTTACTTTTAAAGAACAAATTTTTTTAAATGTCAATAATGAAAATAATTTCTATTTCTTAGTGTGATCACATGTGTCCATACAAGCCAATGCCTTTTCTTCTTTAAAAGGAACCCTGTAATTTCTGGTAATGATTTAAATAATGTGAGCATTCAAATCACCTAATCACCTTTTGAATCTAGAATTGATAAGAACCAAAGTTTGGTAAGACCAGAGTTATCCCTCAATAAATTGTGTAAATATGACAGTACAGGATGTCTCTTTGGCAAGTGATTTTTTTTTAAACCTGGAACAGATATAATTTAAATAGCATGCCCAATAAAATGGTTGCTTAGGATGATAACCTTTGGAGTGGGGAACCTGCAGCCTCAAGGCCACATGTGTCCCTACAGATCCCCAAGTACGGCTGCTTGCCTGAATCTAAACTTCACAGAACAAATCCATTTATTAAAAGAATTTGTTCTGTAAAATTTGGATTCAGTCAAAAGGCCTCACTCAAGGATCCAGAAGGCCACATGTGGCCCCAAGACTTGGAAATACTATGTTGGGAATCTCACTTTCTTGCTGGCCAGTCCATTCTAGAAGGGATTCATTTCTATCTTATACTGAATCAACATTTTCTTCCATTTATTTTCCTATACTTCAGTTGCTAGAGCTGAACACAATGAATCTAATCTCTCTTCCCTTTGAGTATTATACTTGAAAACAAATATTATGCTCCTTCTTCCTGAATTCTTTTTTGCCTATACTTGGAGCTGTTCCTCACCCACTATGGGGTTCCGCCCTCCTCTACCCTGAACAGTGTACTCTAGATTCTACATTCTCTCCATTCTTCTTAATGTATGTTGTCTAAAACAAAGATTTAGAATTCTTAGTATTGGACTTTCTATATCTATTAAGACAGTTTAATATTCATGAGCTTCTTTAGCCATCTCATTACACTGTTGACTAATTTCAAACCTATAAACAAAATAACAACTTGTTCTTTTCAGATTATTAATCATTCATAGTCAAAGCATTATGATAATAGCTTTAAAACATTTTCTGATGCCTGAACTTGCTATAAATCTATGGAAAGTATAGTACTGTGCAGGTAAATAATATTCTGTATGCAATACAGATAGCTTCTTAATTTCTCCCTATCAAGAAATATCAACCCAAAAATACCAGATGTAGAATATTCTGTTGAAGCTACATGTTATAGACAGGTAGGGACTATATTATATTTTTTACATAGACCTTATCGTGTCTACTTCCATGAGCATGAGTCAGTACTAGCAATCAGGAATTTATTGAAGGCTTGTTCTGCCCACGACCCAGAGGGTATGCCATCTGACTCTAAGTGAAGTGAAAATTCATCAAGCAGAAATGCTTCCTAGGGCAACTGGGGTATAAGATGAACATACAGGACATGACTAAGTCAATAATCTACTTTTTCTCACGAGGTAAATGGCTTACCAATGCCACAGAGAAGTCTAAAGTGCTCATGCCCCATAAGTGGATATATTGTGGCATCAGTATGAACTGAGGACCCCATGTCCTGTTGTGTGTTTGGATAGGAGTTGGACAAAGGCTCTGTTACTCCTGACTTATGAAGTCCTAACTGCCTCGGAGGAAGGCAGCCAAGCTGGCTTATACCAGGTAAAGGGTGTGGCTCAAAGGTAAGCACTTTGGGGCCCATTGACCTGCATTTTGAATCTGAGCTTTGCCACCTACATGCAAATTAGCTCCTCTGAGACTTACTTTTTTCCTGTGTGAAAATTATAATGCCTACCTCCTAGGGCTGAGGTATTTCCACACAAGCTCTGTAGCATTTACGGCCTGAACTGTGTATTGGGTACCTATCTGGTAAGATTGATTTCTCTTTTATGTATCTGTCTTGGGCTTCACAGCCAAATTATGAGTTCCCCCTGACACCAGCTGAGAATCTGCCACAGCCATATTTTCCTGCAAGAAGCATTTAAGGTGGATGATGATGACAATGTTGCTTTTTCTGATTGTGAAACAAATGATCAGTTTCCCTTGGTGGGGAGCAGAGGGTAGAAAACCAACTGGCGATATAAACTGACACCTGGGCCTATCAGAACACCCTACTTGGTCAGGACAAGGGGACAATGACAGTCTTGTGCTCTCAGATGAAATTGTCCATGCTATCCCCTTCTTTGTGTGTGTGTGCCTGTGTGTGTTTGCAGTGAAATAACTCACTTCATCCGTTTGCATTATGGTCTTCCTTCATATACATTTGCTTCTATGTTAGAAAGATATAATATGAAATAATAGTAAACTAGGTATCAGGAAACTTGGGTGCCCTCCAAGCTCTGCCTCTAATGGACTTTGTATTTTTTTGCAAACTATTTAACCTTCCTGGATTCATATTTCTTACATGTTA